ACCTTTTAAACAAAAGAATGATGACAAATCATGAATAAGGTAAGGAGGGGGTAAAAAAGTATAAGGGAAAGAGTGGGTATGTATATAAGGGTTGTAACAGAGGGTAACATATATTATTAGAATCATGTTTATGAATTACAGGGTGAAGAAGTTTATCCACATGAAAAACAGTAATTCTTTTACAGATATGACTTGCAAAACTATCTAAATAGTTTTTGAAGATTTTTTTAAAAATAGTTTTGCAGATTTAGTTTCGATAAGCTCTAATTCAATCGAATTCCATAATTTTGGAAATAAAGCGGAAGGAAAATATTCTAGCGTTTTTAAAAGAACCCGCTCAAGTTTATATGATTTTCTTCTATTTGGTTCAGCTAAAGAATTAAACATATTAGAAGTTCTTATCTGAAGAATATTGGATCTGAATGTGCTTTAAACTATTATTTACTACTCTAACTAGTAAATGCCCTTTTTTGCAAAGATTTGATTTTCTGTAGTTTAGCATTTTTACGTCCAACAAATTTAAAGTATTTATTTGTAAAGTCAGCTCCTATTCTTTCCAGAATCACATTTCCAATTTTTAATTTGCAGTTCCTAGGATCAAAATGTATATTTTTATTCCTAAATATCATAAACTTTGTTTTGAAGACTTAATGTTAAACGGTTTGCCTGAAACCATGCAGCTGTCTTTTTTAGTTCAAAGTTGGCATCAATTACTTAAGTTTCGATATAAACTTATAGTGTTGTTGGCAAATAGATTTGTAAAAAAAGACGTTGCTAATGGCAAATCGATTATCTAGATGAGAAATAGTAGGGGCCCAAGAACACTTCCCTGGGGAACACCGCATGCAACGGTTTTTTCTTTAGAAAAAATACCATTTATGCAAACATATTAAGTCCAATTGCATATGTAGTTTTGAAACCAGGTGTTAGTTACATTTTTGATACCGTAGTGCTCAAGTTTTTTTAAAAGAATATTTAGGTCACAACAGTAAAAAGCTTTCTTTAGATCAAAATATATTCCTAGTGTAAATTCTGGTTAAGGTTTATTAAGATTTTCGTAAATTTTATTCATTAGGTGCAGTAATGGTTGATTAGTATTATGTTTTGGTCTAAATCCATATTGATGTTGATAGAAAATCTCAAACTTGTTAAGATATTTAAACATTTGTGTCGCAGCTATTTTTTCAAGAAGTTTATTTAGCACTTGGAGAATACTAATTGGTCTGTAGTTATTAAATTTATTTTTTTCGTCAGTTTTAAAAATAGGAATTATTTTGCACATTTATAATCACTAGGGATATATCCTGTTTTAAAAGAAAGGTTAAACAAATGAGCTATAGGAAAAACAATACCATCAACTATTTCCTTCAGTAGCTGGGTAGAAATATTGTCCTTACCTGAACTGTTTTTAGGCTCAAGTTTACTCACTGTTTCAAGCATAATTTCTGGTGTAATATTTGCAAACACAAAGCTTTCCTTAGATGGCTCCTTTAGATACGTTTCAAAATTGTTATTGGAATCCGGAATATAACTAGACAATCTGGGTCCAAGGTTGACAAAAAAAATCATTAAAACCCTCTGCTATCTCAGCAGATCCCACATAACTTTTTTATCATCAGTGAAAATTTCAGGAACTGAATAACTTTTTTTCTTAGAAGAAATAATAGAGTTTAGTAAAGACCAAGTCTTTTTTATGAATTTTGAGTATTCTGTAAATTTTGAATAAATTTTTGAATAAAATTTTCTTGAATAATTTTTCTTTTTGTTTCCTAGATACTAGCAAAGTGGACGAAAACCAAGGGTTTATAAAAATTTTATTTTTGTTTGTTTAATAAATGGAAAGCTTTCTTCATAAATATTATTTAAAATGTTAGAACATTCAGAAAAAGCTGTAGAAGGGTCTTCATTTATCATAACATGAGTCCAGTCATTAATTAATTTTTCCTTAAACTTGGCTTTATTTTCGATTGAAGTGTGTCTAATTAGAACTGAACATTGTATTTCTGTTTTACTAGCCTTATACAGTGATCAGAGATGGAGTTGTTACCGAGCTGATCATCAGTTTTGATGATGGATTGAATCCCGGGTTTTGGTTTTTGACAGGATAGGATGAGATTTCATTTAAGCTGTCTCTGCATTGTTTCCTTGCATTTTCTAAGCTGGTTTTTTATCTCTTCTTGCTTCTGCTGTTTGAGCTCTGATATCTCCTTTCTCAGTATAACCTCAGTTTCAATTAGATGGTTTAGAATTGTGCCAAAATTAGAAGATTCAGGTTTTATTTCAGCCTCAGAACCAAGTCCTAGGTCGGACAGGTTTTTAAGAATAGAATCTAGGGCAGCAATTTCATTCTTGGAGTTAGTGGCCATTGGTGTTTTTCCGTGGTTTGCTTTCATTTTATGAGCCATTTTATGCACCCTGTATAAATTATTCTCTGAACTATCTGTACATAAACCTTTAGATAATTAATGCCAGATGACCGCGCGCACACACACACCGACACCCACCCAGACAAGCAAAGTATATATAATGAAGTCGTAATCTCTGTTCGTTTACATTTCCCATCATAACTCAGGAACTCAGTAACCGATTTGCCTTAAATTTTGATTGGAGAACTCTGTATATTTACATGAATGTTCTTAGCTAGCTCTTAATTGAATAGATTGAACTTTGTTTCAAGGCAAAGCTGGGTTCCCAAGCTAATTATTATGTAATTCACTAAACTTTAGGTATTTATCGTAACTTAAGATTTGAACCCATTGTGTCATATGGAAGTGCCTGTGCAATGTTCATAGGTCAATTTTTCAAGACCAACTCTTTTTATTTAGAACTTTATAATGGTGAATTGGTGAATTGGAGCTGGAGAAGGTAAACAAGTAAAAAGTAATTGTTGAATCATTTTATTTTGTTGCAAATGCTATTTTTCAAGGGTGTAAATTTTAAGCTAAATTGCTTTCAAAGTTTTTGTAACACTTAAATCATCTTAATTTTAAATATTAATGCCAAAAATCTATTTTTTTAAAAGGCAATAAGGTAGTGGTTGCAATGGATGGTTTTGAAGTATGATGCTATATATTTCGAATACATTTAATTCCATTTAAGATTATTTGAACATTTTAGATTAAGTTCCATTCCAGAATTATTGGAGTGTTTAATTTAATAATTTAACTTTCCTCTCATTCAATTAGACCAACTTTTGATATCACGTTGTTTAACATGATTTTACAAGTCAAAAAATAGTAGATTTCTTATGAGCAAAGCAAGGGGTGTAATCTGTCGTCTTTGTAATAAGGACAGAGATATCAGGGACAGAAGGGAATAGGTGTTATACAGAACGTCCATAGAGAATAGAATATATAGAGAGGAATTAAAAGAATCTCTCGGTATGAATTTTTTCAGTCCCTTTCAGCCTTAAAGGGAGTTCAAAGTGTACAAATCATGTAAATTTTCACAAATTATATGCAGTAGAGTACATTAATACAGTATGTTCCCTAGACTATTCATTTCAATTTCGAATTTTTTAAACTGTTAAATAAACTTTATAATGAGTTAGGTGAATAAAAAACATCATTTGATTTATAGTTATAACGGAAAATCATCGTTTGTAAAGTGGAAGGCATAGAGTCTATGTGAAATGATCATTGGTCAATTATGAAACCAGCCTATTTCATAATTTGGTTATCTTTTAACAATAATTTTAGAATTTTCTATGAAATGATATTCCAGGGCCCAACAGGTTATATAGCATAAATATGTGAAGTACACCTGCAGTATGAAAACAGTACAACAAAATGGCCGTTTTACACTTTTTTCTTTTAAATTCCTCTCTATATATTCTATTCTCTATGAGAGCGTCCCATATCATATTAGATTATTTCCAATCTTTAACGACAAAATAAATCCTTAATACTCGAAAAACTTATTATTTTCCGCAAGAAAATTCTAATATAAGCCTTATGTTATTTTTCAAAATGATTAATTCTAATTAAATTTTCTGATTAGTCCCGAAAATCGTAATTCAGACCCGTTCTCGGTCTAATATGATGTGGGACACCCTGTAGGTATAGATCATGTAGTGACATACAGTACAATATAACAAAATATGGAAGAATACATTCTACACTAGTCACCAACTGTCATGTTTCGTGGGACACCCTGTCTGAGCTTTCTAAAATGTCTTTTATCTTAAATATTAGCAGAAATGGTTAAAATCTAAGAAAATTTCTATAATAATAATGTAATAAAACTGGGAACTTTATATTTAAATGTAGATAAGTAGGAAAAAAGCAAAATAAAATATTGGAAACCTTAAAATAATACGTGAAGATCAGATGCAGGTTATAAAGTCTTCACTAAATTGAGATAAGATGCAGGTTATAAAGTCGTAATTTAGAAACCCTGTTATTAAATTAAATTAAATTCATTAAAAAATAATACTGAACAAAAGGACAATATTTGTATGTTCAACAAATCGTCAAATTAAAAATTATAAGAAATTCACGTTTATGCCATATTTATTTGCATTGTACAGTTAAGTATACAAGTCGAAAGGTTTAAAAGTATTTTACAAGAAAAAGTAACACTAGGATGTTATTAAGTTATATAAGTTATTAATCACAAGGATCACAAAACTAGCTAAACCGTCAGTGATAAAACCAGAAGCGCAACATGGGGGGGCATAATATTCGTCGAACATTCTTGAAGTTCTCAGAAGGAATACTATCAATATATAAAAAGGTTAATTACAAAAATAATTGTTTAAGGCCCTTCTCTTGTGCATTGAACTTTGAAGCAAAAAACCGTGAACAACTTAATTTTATAAAATATTATATGAAGTGATATGTCTTTCTTTAGTAACACAGAACGTATAAACTTAATATGCACGCATTTTTAAAGAGATTGCTTAACGTAATTTAACTGTGAGCCTTTATTAAAAGGGGGCTTTGTTAATTTAAAACTGGGCACTTTAAACAGTTGCCTGAAAAAAAATTATTGAGCTTTTCTTGTTTTCTCTCTAAAAATTAACAATTTTCAAATTATTCTTAAACGATGAAAATATAATTACAGAGAATTCTTAACGGATTAAACTATGCTCCTAAGCAGAGACACTGCAGATGCTGGAACTTTTTTCCACTTGTAGAGAAACTTAAAAATAATAAATATTAGATAACTTTACAGTATAAACATATCCTTACAATAATCTATCAAACTATTCTTTTATCCAATAATAGGCATCTACCCCCCCCCCCACCGGTTTAAAAAGTCCATAACCTTTTTTTAAGCATCTGTAACAGGACTTCTTCAGGACAAAACGAAAAATATTTCAATGTAATTTTTTAATACAGGTTTAAACATTTTTGAGCTGTGTTTCATGTATTAAAATATAATTCAGTGACGACTTTTATATCGTCTTCGATGCGGTATTTTCATATAAGCACAACTATTGCAGTATTCCAGCTTAATATCTAATATTGCAAAACGCCTGGTCTTGAGATTTTCAAAATGTGGTCTACCATTTCTTTGTTTTCAAAATTAGTAATATTGCAAAATTTGGACAAATTTCAATTTATTTAATGAAACAAAATTCTTTTGATATATAATATCTTCGTCAGTGTTTAAGATACAAGGAAGGTAGACCAATTAATGAAAAGCTAGCCAGACGTACAACCTCGTTTTTAAATTTATTTACCATGCATTAAATATCAGAAATCAAAGACGACTTTCGAGTCTTCTCTAAATTCCCATGTTTATTGGGACACCCTGCAGAAGGTTATTTCTAATAAGGATAAATATGCTAAACACTTTTTCTGTAGTAAGGGTAACTGTTGTAAAATTACCTTGTGTTTCTCTTCCTGGTGTGAAATCAGGGAAGTCATTAGGATTGAATCTGTTAGAATCATCGGTTTTTTCATTCTTCGACTTTTTCAGCTTCACATTGTCGGGGAGTTTGAACCCGAGGGCCTTCATCGATTTTAATTCGCTAGGGATTGGGACAAAAGCCCCTCTCTTCCAGTCTTCATACCTCTGGTTCATCCTTTCGAGTTGTTTAATAGGATAGACCTCCTTGGCATGATGAGGAAATATGAGCTTACTATGTCTATAGAAAACCATTCCAACTCTAGTTGGAAGAATTCTGTTTGGTTTATCCAAGGCGGTGGTGGCATGGACTTCATGTTTAGCTACTTCAAGGAGTAAACTTCCGTGAGGCAGAGAAAATGCCACACCTTGCCCTTCTCCCTACAACAATAAACTTATCAATCAACGAAAAGAGATCAAGACGCCAAATGTGAAAAAATTAATCTAGAAAATAGGCAATCCTTGCAATAGATGTGGGAATCTTCTTTCAAATGTTGGCAAAAAGTTCTGGATCAATTTTTCATTTGTACTTTAAAAAATGTTAAAACAAAAGCAACAGGGTTCATTTTTTTATTTCCTCTTAAAATAAATGATTGTGATATGTGAATTATTAAACAGTTTGCCTGATTTCAAGTGACCCTTCATGCAAAGATGGCAATTCCCGATTTACAACCTTAAAAGATTTGTCCGATGATCTGATCAATCATGAAATAGATATCCTAGTTCAGTTTCTTTAAAGGGAGTGACCGGCTATGTAAGGTAGTTGAACTGAGTATGCAATATTGTGGAAAACTTCTTTCGGATTCATTTGAGACATACTAAACTTTTTAAAGATCTGTAAATCCAAATTTGACGTTCAAAACTCCTACTTTGGGGGTGGATACGTTTTCAGAATTAGTTTTTTTTAAATTATTAAATAACGACGACATAAAATGTAAAAAGTTCTTCAATAAAGTACAGACGTCATGTATCGGAACAGGTTGAAAAAATAAAAATTAACTGTTATAATTAAAATAAATATAAGATATTTATTTTAAATTTAGTTTTAGTCCTGAAATTGGTTTCTCATTTTCCGTGTGGTTTTCTGCAGATTTTCTAGAACTATTATTGAAAAGACGACATTTGAAGAATTTGAAGAAATCTGCGAATAAATTCAAAGAAGATAAGAAATTCAATATAATAATAAAAACGAAATAATTGATTCTAGCATTGATTTATGGACAAATTTCTTTTGAGAAATATGTTCCCAACCATCTAATAAGATTACTGTGTGATTTTTACTTTATCTTTCGTCGTCGTTATTTAGTAATTAAAAAAAAAACGATTCTGAAAACGTATCCATCCCCAAAGTAGGAGTTTTGAACGTCGAATTTGCGCTCAAGCACAGGATTTACAGATCTTTAAAAAGTTTAATATGTCTCAAATGAATCCGAAAGAAGTTTTCCACAACACTGCATACTCAGTTCAATTCTACCTTACATAGCCGGTCAAGCTCCCTTTAAACCTTTTTTTATTTGAGGTGTCTCCGCGAATGTGACTTGTGAATTACTTGCTCATATGAAGCAACGGAGATTTCATCAGAAAAATACTTTTCGAGTCAGAAAACGACATTTATGATCAGATTTTGGTTTGAAGGGAACCATTGTAAATCGGGCATTTCCATCTTTGCATGAACGCGCGTTCACTTCAAAATATGCTTACAGTCCCTATCAGAGTTGTTAAAAAAAAAAATTGGGTCGCAATTTTCTGTTTTTTCCTCATAAGTACTTTTGATTAAAAAAGGCAGTCCATTTGTGATTTATTTCTCTCTGTAAGGAAATTGCATACATGCAGTACACGATTTACTGCATGAAGTCAGTACAATTATGTACAGTGTATTAATAACAAGCTTGAAGCCAATTTTCTGTTAGATTTTCTAAAACGAAATAAACCCGCTTCTAAACATTTACAGATATGTCGTACACAGAATATTAACCCTTTTTTATTTCCAGTTCTTTTCTTTAAAGGAAATACAATTGCGTAGTTTTTAAATGGACATTCTCAATTCAGGGTAAACCTTAAACCTTTGACTGATAATCAAGGACAGTGAACTCTTTGTTTATTTCTCTTAAATTTTGAGGGAAAAGCCAAATACAGGGTGTCCCAAAAAACATGGGAATTCAGTGACGAATTCGATATCGTCTTTGTTTAATGTAAAATGAATGACTATAATGAAGGATATAAAACAAGGTGAAAGCTGAAAGGTAGGAAATGAAGCCTTTATTTGATGGAGTTTGTAAATGCCAGAAATGAGTGAAAAATGCAAATCAAACCCAATTAAAACCAATCATGATATTTTTCTAGGGCGGTAAAAAAAAAATTCGGCGCGCTTCGCACGCCACATTAAAAAATTTACCCCCCCCACTATAGAATCCTTATTTACGCCCGTGAGGTCTCTATAAGCTGTAAATTTAAAAGGAAATTATGCTCTGTTTATAACTTTTGTATGTCATTAAATAAGTTATTGTTAAATGTAGTAAATCATGTAAAGGAATACCTAAAGCTTTGTTAAAAACAAAGTTAATATATGAGATTCTTTACCTCCAATTTCTTCAATCCTCCGTTCTGTGTGCTGGGAATGGGATCACTCGGACGGTATAAAGGCAGGATATGGAGCTGCTTGCTCACTCTGCTGTCCTCCCCTTCACCTGGAGAAAAAAGACGGAATTAGAATTTGTTCAATCTGTAAACAATGCTCAGATATCATTCATTTTATTAAGCCCAGCCCCCTCCCCTCCCTCTAATTCTTTTGCCCTGACACTTTCATTGCCGTGAAATTTGTTTACTTTTCAGGAATAGTATTCGGTAATTTAAAGGATTTTTTGCAAACATTTTTTTAATGCATAGGGAAGGGTACACCGTACAGGGCGGGGTAAAAATGAGCTGGCCTTGAGAAATTGAGCTACGAGCATGTATGCTTTTCCTAATAAAGTTTTTGCACAGATTTTTTATTACCTCTAATATCCGGCTTAGAAAGAGTAACGATGGCGGTGGTACCGCCGATCATGTTGTTTACGTCCTTATGCTCATGAGCCGAAAAATCGACCACGGCCGTTACACCGCTATAGGGGCGGTCTGGTCCAGATCCGATTCCGCAACACCCCACATCCTTGAACAAGTTCATATTGTTGAAGGAGTCCGGGGCCAGGATCTGTAATAGTATCAGTAGTATTTCATGTTAATGTAAGTAAAACAAGAGAACCTTCATACTTTATCAGACAAGGCTCAAAATGATACTGTTGTGACTTGGACATGTCATCATATTAAAATGGCGTCTTTCCAAACTGAACAGTCCCTTTAATGATTTTATGTTCCAAACTGAACAGTCCCTTTAATGATTTTAAGCTCCAAACTGAACCGTCCCTTTAATGATTTTATGTTCCAAATTGAACAGTCCCTTTAATGATTTTATGTTCCAAACTGAACAGTCCCTTTAATGATTTTAAGTTCCAAACTGAACAGTCCCTTTAATGATTTTATGTTCCAAACTGAACAGTCCCTTTAATGATTTAATGTTCCAAACTGAAAAGTCCCTTTAATGATTTTATGGAATGGAACTCCTTAAAATAACAAAGCGTTAATCAAACATTAACACTATAGTCTTTTATTATTATTTTACATTGTTATATATCTAGTTTTTACAAAGCCTACAAGCCTATAAACACTGAACAGAGCTATATATAGCCTATTTCTATAATTCAAAATTTTTAAAACTTTATTAAAACTTTCTCTGCTGAAGTTATTAAGTTGTTATTGAAGAGAACCCACGATTGGCTATGATTTCTTTTCAGATACAAAAACAAGAATAATTCTGTCATTTTAAGCAGAAAAGGGGTAGGTTACCATTGTAAATCTTACATGTAACTCTTAAGATGGAGGATTATAATGACACCAACAGCCCCATTAGTTTTTATTTTTCTCTTCTGTGCTACAAGTTAAAAATCGGCCAAAAAAAGTTAAAAATAAAAACCTTGTGCTTGGCTGCCACCTCGTCGGCAACTTTATTAACAAGAAAACCCAGCTTATCCTCCAACTCTGTCTGGTTATTGCCCAGATTGAAGAGGCGGGCCTAAAACATTAGATTATTTTTATTCAACTTAAACAATTCCTAAGAGAGAGACTGGTTTGGTAACATATTTGAACCGAGAGTGCAGACTCATAAAGAACAAATTTAGAATTCATTTGACACCATTGATACGTTTTTACAGTGTAAAATTTCTCAGGATTTCTTTAATCTAATTCAAAAGACGACATTTAAATTCATAGAAACAGCAACGCGTGTCCGGGTTATTAAATAATTGTAAAAATCTTTCTTCTGCTGACCAAGTGACCATTTCTCCTAGTGAAATTTCACAAATGAATTCAGGCTCTTACTTATAAATCATGTGTAGTGGTATCAAATGAATCCTAATATTTTTCTCCATAATACAGTGTGTCCCACGAAACACGAGAGTTGGCGTATAGTTTTGAATGTCTTCTCCCATATACTCTATTGGTTATTAAACTTAAAGACTTTTTTCAGTTCATTTTGTTTAAAATTTGTTAACTCAAATATATTTAGCTTAAAAACTAATTTTACTATGACAGCAACTCCAACCCAAGAGCCCTTCCCCCTTTTTCCCCTTTTACTATAACTTAACAAATTATGGAAGAAGACATCTTAAAATATTCACCAACTGTCATGTTTCATTGGAGACCTGTACGTTACCTAGCCAGTATCTACCGTAAAAGAAGTGTCGAATATTTCGTCAATAATGTATAGGAGATGGAAAGAAAGTGACAACTTAAAACCATAATTTGTTTCAATTGTTTTCACTGAGTTCTGGCCACAAACTCAATTGTTCTCATCTCCTTCTCTTTACGATCTTTTGATGTATACTTTTGATATGTCAAGCTTAGATTATATTTAATAGAATTCATACAGTTACATCCTAAATGAACCATACATCAAAAAAATTGATCAAATGTCGTCTTGACAATTTTTTAATGTTTTTTTTTACTATTTTACGTAAATCCCAGTATTTGCGAGAAAAAAATAGCCATAACTATGCAGGAACATTTAAAAAGAGTTCCATATAATGATTTAATCAAAAAACTAAATATCTGCAACATTCCATTATCAGAAAGTGAAGAATACGACATTTGATGAATTCTTTCGATGTATGGCTTATTTAGGGTTTAACTGTAGTTAACAGTTTTAAGGATTAGAAAATCAGAGTTTGTGGCAAAGACTCATTTCACTGAAGCAATTAAGGAAGGGTAACACCCCCCCCCCCCTCAATCGTGATAGGGTTAGAATTATGTTGAATTATCCTATTTTTTGATAACATGATTTCTACCTGCTCGGAACGTGAGAATTTGCAGAGCAAATAATTATACACTGAGGAACTACAACCCCAGGTGAAACTTTGTCCGGAAACTGCGGAGTCAGTTCCCTGAAAAAAACACTATCTAAAAAATAAACTTTCAAGTGACTTTCCTTTATAAACGTGGGATTTCCGATCAAAAAAGGTAACCTTTGAACCTTTGAACTTTTGAACCTTTGAACCTTTGAACCTTTGAACCTTTGAACTTTTGATCCTTTGAACCTACAGTGAAACCCTTAATAACGAATACATCGAAAGAATTCATCAAATGTCGTATTCTTCACTGAAATTTATGTAATATAGTATAAAACTCATTTAAAAATTGTCAAGACGACATTTAATAAATTCTTCTGATATATTCGTTATTAAGGGTTTCACTGTATGAACCTATGAATGGCAAATAAATTATTTTTCTTGTTGAAAATTTGATATTTGGTTCAGCTGTAAAACTGACTGGGGGATCAGAGACAGTGAGGAAAATTGTCAGAATTCAACCCTTTTCAAGTTGTAATAACGAACATGCAACTCAAAGAATGGAGAATCCAATAATTATTTAATTATTTATTTAATCTTCAAACCTGACACTTGCAGGATTTACTGGCGTTCTTCTCACAACCCCTCTTTGTGTTCACACCTAGAAAAAATTCTTCAATTAAAGGCGAGTACTCCTCCTGAGGCGAGTACTCCTCCTGAGGCGAGTACTCCTCCTGAAGGTTTAACCGAGTGTGTGGGGGGAGGGGGGGCACATAAGTTCGAAAGCGTGCCAAAATTTATTGAAATATTAAAAAAAAATTACCAACCTGTCGTAGAACTCGTAACATTTGTCATGATAGCATAAGCTTCGGAGCTTAATTCGTCTTTGAGTGCATTGTACTCCAGTATGGCAACAACTATGTAAGAGTTGTTACAGACATGTCCACTCCTAGCAAGAAATATTGATTAATTTTTAGGTTTTAAACACTTTATAAACAAAACATTCAATTCTTTAGTATTTAAGCATTATCTTATGTGGTTGGGGTTAGGGGAAGGGATAAGCATTTTTTCTTTCCTCGCTTAATAATTTTCCTAAACGTTCATTTATTTTCAAAACAGATTAGGGTAACAAACGATTAGAGGGGGGGGGGTGTAGCAGGGAAACTTATTGGTCAGGAAAGATCACATTTACAAGATACATTTATAGGAATAAATTTTTGTGGTTTGTATACAGTGAAACCCTGAATAAAGATCTACATCGGAAAAATTTATCAATTGTCGTCTTGACAATTTTTCAATGAGTTTTATACTATATTACGTAAATTTCACTATTTACGAAAATAAATAATTAGCCATGAATATGCGGGAACAGTTTTAAACATTTGATGAATTCTTTCGATGTATTCGTTATTAAGGGTTTCACTGTAGCTTAGCTGAAGAAACAAAATATTTCCAATATTTTTTGCTTTTCCTTTGAATTATTTACATTTTTGAACAACAATTTTTGTTTCGTTGAATTTTTTCAAAAAATAAATCCAAAAGAAAAATCTGTGTGAACATAATAATAATTATATGTTACCTTTTCTTATAAACAATAATAAACTTCTCTTTGTTTTGAGACCTTATGATAACCCACTCAGGGGCAGGGCATCTGTTAACTACAGATTCTAAAACATAAACTGAACTTACTAGAAGTATTTATTGTGTCCAACATCATATCAGATCGTCAATGTGTCTAAATTACAGTTTACGGGACTAGTCAGAAAATTTAAGCAAATGAATCATTTTTTAAAATTTAATAAGGCTCAAAACATGTCTTGCATAAATACTAGGTAATTCGAGTATTATACAGTGAAACCCTTAATAACGAATACATCGGAAGAATTTATTAAATGTCGTCTTGACAATTTTTTCAATGAGTTTTGTATTATTTTACGTAAATTTCAGTATTTGCGAAGATAAATAAATAGCCATGAATATGCGGGAACATTTTTAAAGAGTTCCATATAATTATTTAATTGAAAAACTAAATATCTGCAACATTCCATTATCAGAAAGTGAAGAATACGACATTTGATGAATTCTTTCGATGTATTCGTTATTAAGGGTTTCACTGTATGTACGTTAAAGTTTGGAGATTATCTAATATGATATGGGACGCTCAGTATATAAAAGGAACTGAGTTATTGCCACAATATCTAATTTTCTAATCCCTTATCTTTGCAACTCAATGTGGTAGACCTTAGGTATTTCATACTAATCATTCTGTTAGATATACTAATCTAAGTTTGAAATATCAAATGTTTACACCACCAGGCTTCAAAGATATAGACATTAGAATATTTCAGTGTGTGGCAAAGACTCAATTCCTTTGATATAGTTTTTTAAAAAGCAAATGTTATGAATATTAACAGTTCTGAAATTTGCAAATTTTTGTGGAACCTTTTTACAGTGTTGAAAACCTTTCTACAGTGTTGAAAACCTTTTTACAGTGTTGAAAACCTTTTTACAGTGTTGAAAACCTTATTACAGTGTTGAAAACCTTTCTACAGTGTTGAAAACCTTTTAACAGTGTTGAAAACCTTTTTAAAGTGTTGAAAACCTTTCTACAGTGTTGAAAGCCTTTTTACAGTGTTGTTAACCTTTTTACAGTGTTGAAAACCTTTCTGCTGTGTTGAAAACCTTTTTACAGTGTTGAAAACCTTTCTACAGTGTTGAAAACCTTTTTACAGTGTTGAAAACCTTTTTACAGTGTTGAAAACCTTTTTACAGTGTTGAAAACCTTTTCAGTGTTGAAAACCTTTTCACAGTGTTGAAAACCTTTCTACAGTGTTGAAAACCTTTTTACAGTGTTGAAAACGAAGGAAACTAAGAAATGCTCACAAATCCAAACCAACCAAACGCCAAAGATTTGTCTTCAGGCTTCAATTATTAATTTTTCTCTTAAAACTTTTCCTCAATAATCTTTCCTATTCTTGAAATCTTCCCAAAAAAATGTTTAAAATATTAGAAAATCAGATTCATTTCCGTCCGACCAGAAAAAGGTGGTAATCCCATCAAACAATTAAGAAATTTCAATGATACAACTATGAATTGTTCTATACCTGGGGCTGGACCTGCCACCTGAATCTGAATGAATCGGATAGCGTCCCCCGACACACTCAACCTCTCCTCGAAACTTGATCTAAATATATTCATAGCCATATAAATATTTATACAATGGGGCCCATCAATCGGAAGGAATACAGTGATACTCAGAAAACTGTAGACTAGGAAGACGAGATTCAAGCAATACTAAATTGCCTTTGAGGTTTTAACAAAGCAAATAGGTTTAATAGTAAAAGTTATTAAATTAATAATAATTTATAAAATGGGTCTGTTTACACTGCACAATTGTTGTGCTTCATGAAAGAGGGAAGACACACCACATATTTTTTTCGTCCGACCACAAATGACATCACAATTTACCATTATTTAGTCTGATCACACCTTTCTTTCGTCCAATAAAATTAAATTAGGAGTGTGTATGTATACCTTAGTTGATCAAGGCTATAGGCTGATCCCAGCTGTGAATACCTGTGTTCCTTAATGCTAGAGGCTGTGCCAGCTGTAAATACGTGAATTGCTCAAGGCTAGAGGCTGATCTCTGCTGTGAATACCTGAGTTCCTCAAGGTTAGAGGCTGATCTCAGCTGTGAATACCGGAGTTCCTTAATGCTAGAGGCTGTGAATACCTGAGTTCTTCAATGCTAGAGGCTGTGCCAACTGTGAATACGTGAGTTGCTCAAGGATCAAGGCTAGAGGCTGATCTCTGCTGTGAATACCTGAGTTCCTCAATGTTAGAGGCTGATCTCAGCTGTGAATACCGGAGTTCCTTAATGCTATAGGCTGTAAATACCTGAGTTCCTCAATGCTAGAGGCTGATTTAAGTTGTGAATACCTGAGTTCCTCAAGACTAGAGACTGATCCCAGCTGTGAATACCTAAGTTCCTCAAGACTAGAGACTGATCCCAGCTGTGAATACCTGAGTTCCTCAAGACTAGAGACTGAGCCCAGCTGTGAATACCTGAGTTCCTCAAGACTAGAGACTGACCCCAGCTGTGAATACCTGAGTTCCTCAAGACTAGAAACTGAGCCCAGCTGTGAATACCTGAGTTCCTCAAGACTAGAGACTGATCCCAGTTGTGAATACCTGAGTTCCTCAAGACTAGAGACTGATCCCAGCTGTGAATACCTGAGTTCCTCAAGACTAGAGGCTGTTCCTAGCTGGGAGTACCAGGCAGAATCATCTGCTCCGGCACAGGTGCATGATGGGAACACCTCCTGAAAACAGTTTTTTTTTAAATTAAAGGGACTGTAAATACTTCAAGTAGCCTTCCATTTACATATTGTGTACAAGGGAACTCACAAGGTGTGTACTGTAGGATCAAAATAAATACGTTTAGTTTTTATAAAACTTTGCTGTCAAAATTTAGCTTGAAAATGACGATTACGATTTCTTCTTCATTATAAATCATATAAAGATGTTTCAGTATTTTTTGATGTAAACGTTCAAGAAGAAAGATATTACTTCAGTTTCTGGGAGGAATAAAAAACAAATTTCGATCTTAGATTCCTATTAGAAAATGCAGTAAACTTTTATGTAAACAAATAGCTGATGGATTCCTCGTGCATTTTCATTAAATATTGTTACAATCTTTCAGTTCAGGTAAAAGAAAACAGTTATTGTTTTCTTAGTTCTTGCTTTACATACATATAAGTGAAAAAATGCAACAACTTTCTAGAAATTGCGTTTTTCGCGAAAATGAATTTAGCAAAAACGATGCGAAATTGACCGAACATTTTTTTTCAGAAAACAATTTTCGCGAAAAAAAAAATTTCGCGGAAACCATAATTGCGCAAAAAATCGTATGGAATAGAATTAGAAGTTTTATTATATTATAATCAATAATTTATCTTCCTTTACTTTAATAAATGTTTGATGACGAGAATTTTATCTATCTAGTATAATACTAAATGATTCTCAAATCTCAATATAAAGTTTAGTTCACAATGCTCCAATGCATAAATGTTAAGATTTAAAAAATTCAAAATGT